CCTCTTTGATTGCAACAATCATAGTTATTATTAGATGGTGGTTTAGAATTAACCAGCAGTAAGCATTTAATTCAATCATTCATTAAATCTTTTAAATAGTTAACAACAATAACAACAGTAACAATAGTGGATTATAGATGAGAGAGGGAGGGCTATCCATGATAATGGAAGATAAACTCTTGCTTGCGAATATTATTATTTATTTCTTTTTATTGTGATCAAATTTTGTTATATAAACTTTATATACTAAATTCTTGGATAATATTTTATTTATTGGTAAAAATTATTTAAACACACGCATGTATATATCTTTGGAAGAACAATGTACTAGCAGGAGGTTTGATAATATTTAATTATTACAATGGTCATCAATACACATTTATATATATATGTAATTTTCTAAAAAAATTTTTTTTTTAATGGTGATTGATGACAAACAAAATTATTTTATGTGGATTAGATTCGAATGAGCAATCTTACTGACAAATAGTTTTGGGTATTTATTTAATTATTTTAGTGTTAATTGTTATTTTCTTTTATTCAAAAGAATTGTTTTGAAGGTAGGTTGTTTATACATTTGATTAATTAATGTTATTAACATAATAATAATAATAATAAATAATAGATCATTGTTATTAACATTTTGTAAATCTATTGTTTTAAATATACAATATATGTGATTATTTTATGATAACTGTTTTATATCCAAGTATGTAAATATATTCTTGTATCAACTTGAAATTCACTTATTCCATTCAAATCCCCCTCCTATATAAATTTATTTTGTTTTCAAATTGCGTAATGATCATCAAGCCAATAAAATTTAATTTTTGCGTGATATATGGAAGGGAAATCGTCACAAATATTAGCCAATGAAATCAAATGTCCATTATGCTGTGTACACGTCGATCAAATAACAAACTTCTCTCAATGTCAAAATCCAATACTAACAAAAGAAACAAACAAGATGAGTATGGTGCGAAGAAGGGGTAAGTGTTTTAAGGATGATGGTGGTGGTTATCGCCCACCACCTGTCGTCGTCACTCTAGTTGATTAACAAAATTTTAATCTTTTTTTAGAGCACAAATACCACCAACTATTACTCTCGAAGCTAGTACTCTTTAATAATCTTGAAAATTTCTTTTTTTTAACATATTTTCGATTAATTTTATGTCTTTACTACTTTTTTAAATTCTTACAATATTACTGCGTTCAAACTTTTCTTCCCAATGTCGTCACTCCAACCACTATGCATCAATTACACAGGATCACAATAATCTCGAATGTAATATCAATGATGATGGTGAAAAATCAGATTGCGAGGAACTTATGCCTTCAAACGTTTGTTATCTTTGATTATAAACTCTGTGTAGATATGTTAGCATTACGTAATATCGATTATTGAGAAATTTTTGACAGGTAAATGATAATTGGATAACAAGAAAATGAAGAAGGATTGAGAAAGGTATTGCAAGATACGGTATAATTTATTTACCAGAATGCAACAAAAAAAATGAATTGAAATCCGCGTTTAGTAATAATGAGTGGTCAGTACTTGAGAAATGTTTCTATAAGGTAATGAAGATTTTTTAATGTTAGTATAGTGCAGAATTTATCCATAAATTTGTGATATCTAAAGTTATATTTTGTGCATAATATAAAACTTTAGAAAGAGAAAGAAATCGCAAAAAAAGTCTTCCCGTTACTTAATACTATGCTATTAAATTTCTCATTACTCAAAAATCACATCTGTGTAGTCTGTTTCAAATATCTCCTCCAGCTTCTTAACAAGAGTTTCCTGCAAAACCAATCGATCTTTTATTTGCAACAACTTTTTTATTTATATATAGGTTCTCTCTTCCACGGTCTCCTTAACATAATTTATTGTTGAATTGAATGTGCAAATAAGGTATGGGGAATATTTATCATACATCATTTTTGTTATGATTGGTTTGTTTGGTGTAAAAATCAAAGCTTCTTGAGTCGATCGAATAACTGGACATGGTGTATCTTCACATGAAGTAGTAATATTTTGTGAGGCATCTAATGATGTCAGGTATTGTTGGGATGTACTTTGAGTAATTTCACACAATATAGTATCTTCTGAGGTATTTGATGACATCATGGTTTGTTGAACCGGACTTTATGTGTTTTCATCCTCTAAAATTTCTAGATGGTATGACATGTCACCTTCATCCACACAATCATGGTTCGCTTTTCCACATAATCGTTTTGATTTTTAGATTTCAAAAATAGTATTAAAATCAGAATATTTATGATCATGCGAAACAGTAAAAAAAAATTTCAATTACTTTCCCACGTTTCTCCATGTAGTCTGAATCAGATGAATTGGTCTCTTCCACTGAACTTTCAGTATAACATACTGATTTTCTTTTTCTAAGGACTTTTTCGGATGAAAAAGGCAATTTTTCTTTCCTGCAAGAAAAATCATAAATCAGTTTTGGGCATTTTTAAAAATTTAACTAGAGTAACGACAAGTGGTGGGTGATAACCACCACCACCATCCTTATTCTTAAAACACTTACCCAGCAACATCAACAACGAATTGTTTACTTCTTTTTCTTCTATCCTGTTTGCTGTTCATATTTTAAAAAAAAATTTAAAAAAGAAGTTTGTTATTTGATCGACGTGTACAATTAATTATTTATCCTATTGGGCAGACGCGAATTGATTAAACAATTTATTTTTTGAGAGAGTCCAAGGTGACAAAACGTGGGTGTTGTTGTTTCGGTCGGTTTGGGTCTCCTAAAGAATACGTGTTAATAATTAACCAGAGGTACTTTTTTTTATTTGTATTGATATTTTAATTTTAGCTTATAAATATTTTAATTGGAATCAAAACACGGAGCAGATCTTGCTGGATAAATATTGATAATATTTTGCTTTGTGTAAACATTAATATTAAAATATTAATTATAATATTATAATTACATGAAGTCAAGGCAATACACCATTTAAAAAGAAACATTTCGAGTATGAAATGTTTGAACACTTTACAGCCATTCTCACATGTTCCTCATGTGCACAAGGCTAATCTGACTAGTGTGCCCCAATGATACAATGATGTTGTTAAATTTTCAGGGGGGACATGGCTCTGGAGTTTGCCAAGACTGCATCATCGTCAATGACACTTTCACTAATCTTCCCAGACCAGAGAAAGCTGCCATGTTAGACGAAAAGTCACCTGCAATGATCCTACCTCTAGGGTAAGGATGGCTCTGTGACCAAGTTGCAACTCTGTTGATACTCCCATTGTGATAGTCACCATGATCACTGGCATCAAGGAGAAAGCTGTAAAATAAAATGGTTCAGATTTTGGTATAAATTAATCATTCCCAAATTTCTGCTTCTCTTTAATTTTTGTTTGACCAACCGAACTTGTTATTTAAATGGGGGTATGGTTGTTGGTGAGTAGGTATGCCACTGACAAGACAGGAAACGCCTTTGGGATATACCAGCCAAACTCATATAAAGGGATCTTTTGTCCCAGATTTAGGGTCACATGGATGTTAAGCACAGAAAATGTACATTATCAATGTATATTTTTTTCAACAAAATAAACATTTAAATAATTAATTGTTAAATATTAATACTTTTCTTTTCATAAAAATTACAGCAACCCAGACTCAAAACTCTGAATCCAAAACAGCAACTCAGGTTGCAATCTCCCAAGTTGCAGAACTTTTGAACCAGTTGCAGGTGCCAACTTTTATGCTAGTGTGGCAATAACTCGCAGCAATCATCACACAAATGCCAGCTATCAATGATCAATGCCCATATGATAACAGCCAAGCCTGGTCTGAGGGGAAGATAGGGAAGTTTTGTCCAAAGCCTTCCAACATGTTCAATCGCCTTGCCTGTGGGAAAAAAAGTTCTATGGGGACAGGTTGTGCATTGCACCGCAATTGCATGTTTGTGATAGGAAATTTTAATTAAATCTGACACCTGTAATCAACATCAGATTTATTATTCATGAGCATCCACAATTGATAATCAGGAAGAATAATTTATTTTGTGAACCCCATAGATCTGGGTAGACATGCATTATTAAAGTTCATTCATGCATGGCCTTGGCATCATTATTACCTGAGTGATGCAATTGTTTGTTATGTCAATGATGATATCAAATGTATTGAATAATAATCGTGATCATCATGAATATTCGATGGATGGAGGCATTCACATGCAAGGAAATGAAGGAAATCATTAAATAGCTAAGTCATGTTTGTTTTATTAAAAACATTTGATTAATTATATTTAAAATATACAATAAAATAAAATTGCATTGAATCCAAAGACTACATCACTATGTCAATCAAGCTATCAAGCTGTTAATGTTTGTGCATGATTTAAAATCCTTTTGTGCTCCCATCTTTCTTTGCTTATATATAATCTATTGGTTCTCTCTACTGGTCAAATGATGCCAAATTGGGTAATGGGGTATCAGCAAATATCAGAATCTGATTATTCTTTAAAAAAATAATCAAGGTATTAGCATACTGATAAGTTAATAATATTTTTATCACATAGTCTAAAAGCCTATTAGTAAATATTGAAAATGCCAATATTTATCAGATATTCTTTTAAAATTAATCCTTTTAATAAACCAATAGCTCTTTATATTATAATTAAATTATTGGTTAAATATTTCTAAAGCTCTTACTAAAGTAATATCATATCTTGAGTAGCAGTTAGGGTTTTCTATTCAAATGTTTATTTGAATAAAACAAATAATTCGAGTAATAATAATTTGATATTGAATAAATCAAAATAAAACGAAAAAAAACGAATAAAACGAAATAAAACGAAATAAAACGAAATAAAACGAAATAAAGCGAAATAAAACGAATAAAACGAAATAAAACGAAATAAAGTAAAATAAAACGAATAAAACGAAATAAAGCTAATGTAATTTTACCAAAGATTTCAGGGATCAAATTTGTAATATGATCAGTTTTATAATGTCCCCATTTTTTAAGTGATGAAATAAATTCTTAGGAGGAAAATAATATGAAATGAAGTCTTATGATTAATATTAATGTATTTTTTCTGTTTGTTTGCTTGCTTTAAATGAGCCTTAATGTCATTGCAAAGAGACAATAAGATTTGGATATTGCTTTCAAAAGCACTAATTTTGCTGATGTTATGTACAGTAGTATATATTAGTTTAAGCACTAACACACAATTTTACCTAAAACTTTTTTTTTCTTTCCCTGCACTAGTTTAATGACTAAAATAACTAAGGGCAAGAGCAGAGTAACTGTGGTAATTTGTCATTAATAAAAACATCAAAATCCTTGTCTTTATAAACTTTAGCAAGTTCAAAGCTATGAAACGAAACTGGCCAAAGTCCATTATTTATTTATCTCAATCCTCTGGCTTGTTTTCTTAGCAAAAAGAACTTTTGCGTGATGTGAAAAAGTCCAGAATTTTAACACCCCATCTTCCTTCTTCACACCACCATTCTTTTTAACAAACCATACCCACTTTTTTCAACTCCATACTCTTATTCTTATTTTCTTTTTTCTTTTTTTGTTGCCATTGTGACATTATTTATTTTGGTGATACAAAATGTTCACTTTTCCGATTTTTGTTTTATTTATTGTCACGCGGACACGATATATTATGCAAATCGATATGTGCAGATTTTAGACATAACTTAATATTATTATTGTTATAATAAAAACAAACTTTGTAACCGTTATAGTTTAAATCTTATGGGAAAGAATAAAACTCTATGGTAGGCGTGTTTGGTTGTTGAACTATAGATTTTAAATATTAGCTGTTTTTGGTGTTTATAATCTGCATTATAAACCTTTTTTTTTATTTTAACAAAATTTAAAAAAACTCTTATAGCTAAACCATACCCACTTTTTTCAACTCCATACTCTTATTCTTATTTTCTTTTTTCTTTTTTTGTTGCCATTGTGACATTATTTATTTTGGTGATACAAAATGTTCACTTTTCCGATTTTTGTTTTATTTATTGTCACGCGGACACGATATATTATGCAAATCGATATGTGCAGATTTTAGACATAACTTAATATTATTATTGTTATAATAAAAACAAACTTTGTAACCGTTATAGTTTAAATCTTATGGGAAAGAATAAAACTCTATGGTAGGCGTGTTTGGTTGTTGAACTATAGATTTTAAATATTAGCTGTTTTTGGTGTTTATAATCTGCATTATAAACCTTTTTTTTTATTTTAACAAAATTTAAAAAAACTCTTATAGCTAGCTAGCAGCGACCTCGATGATACATAATGTTGTGTAAATGCATTCAAACAAACAAATAAAGAAAAGTGTTTCACATTGATAAAAAAAGAAATCATCTAACATACGAATATAAAATAGTAATGGCGTAAAATATCTTTTTTCTTGCCCTTTCTTTTTTTTTTATTTTTTATTATTTGAAAGAAAACTAAAAAGAAATAGTAAAAATGATGATAATATTCTCTTTTAATCATTATGTCAAATGCCTTTTTTTAACGATAATGATCTTTTTTAATCAACTGGTGGTTGGTCAATTAGTAAATTTATACTCTCACAATTCGCTCTTGATAAATGATAAACTTTATTTTTTAGGCGGTGCTTCTGTTGGTCTAACAAATCAGTTAATCTACTTGGATTTGTCCAAATCATTTTCAGTTATTGATGATGCCAATGACAGTAGCACATTACCAATAAAGCTACTTAGTCCAAGTTCACCACCACCACCATTTTCTAAGGCAACAGTATTTTTAGGGCACAATGATATAATTTATGTTTTAGGTGGTATGAGAGATATTGTAAATGGCAATTCGGATTATGGACCTTTGGTTCATTCGATTGATTCGAAATCATTTGACACCTGGAAACCTTTAAATTTCAGTGAAGAGTTTGACACTAGTTTAATCGGAAATACAGCTTTTGTGCGGGACGATAATAACAATAAAGTTTACGTGTTAAGCGGATCAACTTTCTTTAGTGTAGACATTGACAAATTGGTAATTGAAAAAAGATTACAAGAAACTAATGCAAATATCAATAATCTAAGTACCATGGTTACTCTTCATCTATTAAATGACAATGAGATAATTCTTATTGGAAAAAATTTGTCTCAAGTATATATAATAATTATTATTCATTTAGATTGCAAATATAAATTTGTAAATGTGTATTAACTTTTTTTTTTTTTTTTAAAAAAATTTAGTTGTCCATTTATAATATTAATAAAGATACTTGGACTCCTGTGGTAAAAATTTATGATGAAAAAAAATTTTTTTTTTCCAAGTTCTCCTTCCCAATTAATTATATATTATTGTTATTAGAATACAACTGGTTATACACCTTCCATAAGACTTAAACATTCTTCGGTAATGAGTAAGTAATATCTATCTATATCTTGCTTGATTATTATGATTAATACATCTAATAATTTATTTTATATATATATAGCACCCGATGGACGAATAATCGTGTATGGTGGAACTAACGAACCAGATAAATTGGCAATCTTGGACACCAAAAACAATTTTGAGTGGACAACTCCAAAAAATATTGTTTATCCTACTGCAATTAACACACTTCATTATACGCACACTGCAACATTGTATAAAGATACTTATATGATAATTGCATTTGGTAATTACTATTGTTATTTGTCATTATCATTGCTGTTGTTGTTCTATTTTTTAGAATTATGAAACTAATATCTTAATATTTTTAAAAATAAACATATTATAGGTAAAATCCGAACGAATCAAGTGGATGGATTTTTTTCAAATATTTTAATTTTGGATGTTACCGATAAAAATAATTATAAATGGTTGAACAACTTTACTGCAACACCACCTACCAATAACAATAATAACACTAATACTGCAAATAATACTATGAATAATAATAACAGACTTTTTATTGTGAAAATGACTTTAGCTGCCATATCAGCTGCTGCACTTATTATTTCAGCAATTTATTTGATTGTGAAATATAACCGAAGGAAAAATAAAAATGTTGTCACCCCCGTGAATCCTGAAAATAGTAGAAATGATGATGAAAAAGTAGTAGTGATTGGAATTCATGACAGTGACAATGATAATACTTCAAAAGGTATCAAAGATACAAACGACATCAAAGATACAAACGACATCATAAAAACAAATGCCGTCAAAGATGCAGATGAAAAAGATATCAAAGAATGATTGATAATGTATGTTTTCATTAAAAATATAATTGTTATAATTATTATTGTTAAGATCACACATAAATTTGATAAGATTTAATAGATTATAGTAATTAAGTATCAAATGTCCTTTTATAATAACATTAAATTGATAATTGATAATTGATAATTGAATAATAAAAATAAAAATAAAAATAATAAATTTATTCAAAGTTTCCTCCAATTCGATGAATTTGAGAATGTGTTATAATATCAAGGGTTGTTCCATTTTCTAATTTCTTACTTTCAACTTCAATTTCATTTTCACCACTTCCAACTCTTCTCATGGCTAAAAAAAAAAATAAAAAAAAATAAGATTTTTTTATTTTACAACCAAAAAACCATTCCAAAAAAGCCCAAGTAAATACCTCTAGCAACAATATCTACATCAATAGTAGCTCTATTTCCCATAAAAAATTTGGCCGTCCTCATACCAATACTTTCCAATAATCTACCTCTAGGTTCCTTTGGAATTAAAAAATGTGGTTTAAAAACACTAACACGATCAAATCCAATTCCACACAGTTCATTTTCGATTTCTCCTTTAACTCTCATATATAAATTGGATGAATTAGCATCTGTCCAACCGGCCGAGCAATATAAAAAATGTAATTTACTATTGTTGATATTTTGTTCTTTAACCAATTTTGCAGAATTTATCACATATCCTTTATCGATCTTTATAAAATTTTCTGCTGATCCTGCTGCTGCTTTTGTTGTACCTAATGTACAAAATATAACACTTTGACAAGAATATATAGAGAAAAATGAAAACATTGAATTAAAAACAATGATTATTACGATTATTATTGTTGTTGTTGTTGTTATTGTCAAGTACACTCACTCGTGCCCTTTAAAATCATCCGCATGTTGATTCAATTTTTCAAAATCAACAACTTTTTGAATCTGTCAAAAAAAATTTTTGAATTTAAAAATAAGTTGCCTGCCTAACAATTATAACATAATGACAATGGCAATCTAATGATTATACCAAAGATTCCTTATTTGGACCATCATATTCAATTTCTCTTCGTCCAATTGAAGTGACAACGTTAAATTTTTCCGATTTCAATAAATCGTATAAAAGCGATTTACCAACTGCACCTATTTCACATTAATTAATTAATCAAATTCGTTATTAAATATCAGGCAAAAAATCCCTTTAATTAATTTTCATTATAGTTATTATTATTATACCTGATGCTCCAAATATTAACGCATTTTTTTTATCAGCCATTTTCTTTTTTAATTAATTTAGAATTTGTGTAATGAAAATTTTTATTATGTGTTCAACCATACCATTACCATTACTATAATAAGTCATATGTTGCTTTAGAAATTTGACTATATTAGTATATATATTACATATACATATATACATATATATCTGTTCTATTTATTTATTTATCAATCAATCATAAAACAATAGTTCCGGTCGTTTGGACCATTTCTCCGTTTCATATTGTATAGATTTATTATCATGTGATTGCTATAGTCATAAGCATACGATGTTAGCTGTGCAAATGTTATTCTCTTTGACACTTGATCTTAATTCGCGCCGAATTTCTTTTGGGTTTGAGTTCCATAAGCGTCAATATTAAAAACGATATGAATTTGAATATATTTAATGGCCTTGGGAAATTCCGTTTTTTCTAATCCAAATTTGATTGAACCAGAATCACGTTAATTGGATCGTTTTTTTTGATCTTTGATTGCTTCTTTCTATATACAAGAACGAATTAATTTCAGAAAATTTTAATTATCGTGGAAAAAAAACATTGCAAAAATTTGATTTTTTCTTGAACAATTAATTATCGGATATTTGGAATCTTCAATCGACTTTACGATCCATAAAGAGAAAGTTAAAAAAGGAAATGTGTGATTCGTACAACTTTTGATCAAATAACAATAAAAATATAAATAACCACCATTATTATTATCTATCGTTATCATTATTATCATCATTATTATTTATCATTTTTATCATTTTTATTTTTATTATTATTATTATTATTATTATTATTATTATTATTATTATTATTATTAAGTGGTGATAGTAGTGTAGCAACTCAACATCATTGAATTTTTGAAAGTTGAGGCGAAATATAAAGATAGTGAGGTTGATTTAAACAGAAATTTAAAATTATGAGTGCAAGCCAAACTTCAAATCCGGCATCTTTTCAATCTTCAGGTAATTCTAATAATAATATATTTCGAACTATTTATTTGGGTCAAATTTTCTCTACGTTTAGAAAAATCAAATTTATCTGCTTAATTTTATTTATTTATTAGTGGGAGTAACGTCAACGGAAGAATTAGCCGAGAAATATCAAAAATTATTTACAGAATTTTCACGGTCGGTTATTGATTGATTGATTAACTAATTGGTTAATTCATTGAATTTCAAATAATTTAATTTGCGATTGATTAATTTATTAATAATAAAAAATTATTAATTAATTAATATTAATTAATTTAGGATAAAAGCACAACACTCTGTTCTTAAGAAGGCTGTTATTAAAGTAATTAATTACATTCTAATACTTTTCATTATATTGACTACATTAGTTGAAGTATTAATTATATGTAATTTGCATATGAAGGAACGAGCAACAAACGATACATTAAAAGAAGAATGTAAAACTAAAGAACAAGAATTAAGAATTGTAAATATTTTATAATGATGGTGGTGATGGTGATGATAATGATGATGATGACGATGATGATGATTATCATAATTAATTATTTAATTTTTTTAAATTTAAATTTTTTACTTTTCTACTTATTTAAAGTCTTTGCAACAATTAGATTTATTAACTTTTCATAACCAACGTCTAACAAAGCGGATTGAATGTTTGCAAGAACCGACTACTTTGGTAAAAGTAAATATGTCGAAAGTTAATTAGTCAATTAATTCGATTAATCTATTGTTTAATTAATTCCAAAAAAATTTTTTTTTAGAGACTGTCGCCTGTATGGTTGATGGGTTCAGCGAAAAAAGAGCTTGAAAAATCAAAGACAACTTTAGAAACAATTAGTAAAGAGCTTCAAAGAAAGATTGAAGAGAATGGTAAATAAAAAAATAAAAATCTTTGGAAATTTTTAGGAACAATAATATAAAAAAAATTTAATTAATATATATATATATACATTTCTTTATTAGAAAAGTTGCACAAGGAATTGTTCGATGTCAATAGTACTTATGCTGAACATGAGAATGATCTTAAAGAAAAAATATCAAAGTTAGAGAAATTTAATGAAGAAATTCAGGTAAAATAAATAAATGAATGAGCGAGTGATGGATGACAATAGAAGGAGAAGGAAAATTTGTTATTATAATTGATCCAAGGTATAGTTTTTCATTCACGATTGTTAAAAAAAATTTTTTTTTTTTAATAGTTAGAGTTAAAAAGATCAGGTGATGCATCAGAAGAAGCTTTAAGTACGATAAGACGAGAGAAAAGCGAACTTGAGAATGAACTTGATCAGACTAAAAATGATCTTCGAATGTATGGTGCAATTTATAATATAATATAACATTAACATTGTAATATTATATTATTATGAAAATATTAATGATATTAAAATACTATTACGACAATAGAACAAAATCTTTGATAGAAAGAAATGAACAGAATCTAAAAAAAAGTGATGATTATATACAAGCAGAGATTGATGCGTTAAAAGAAATATTATTTATTAATCTTGGTTTAACACATGAGGGAGATAACGGCATTCAATTTAATGTATGCTTAATAAAATATTTATTCAATCATTTATCCATCCATTCATTCATCCATTCATTCATTCATTCATTCTCGCATTAATTATTTATCTAGGAATTGGGTGATAAAATGGATCCTGAATCAAGAGAAATTATTGCAAGTTTTAAACAATTACAATCTAGTGCAAGAGATTATCTAAAGTCGATCAAAGATAAAGTAATATATTTATTTATTAATTAATTATTTGAAAATATGTTTATTTCTTCTTTTTATTAATTAATTACAATCTGATCGACATGTGTTAAGTCCGGTAAATCACAAGAACTTGGCTTAAAAGTTAAAAAAGCAAGTCAATCATGGCAAAATAGCTTACAACTTTTGGCAACTAAATTATCAAACGCTCAAGGTATGAATTCATCACTACAGATTATTACAAGTGTAATCGTGTGGTAATAATGGCAATATATTTATACTTATTTTAATTTAAAGATTCGTGTATCAGAGTTAACAACGGAAAAAGAAATTCTTGTTAAAACTAACGAAGCTGATTCAAATAAAGTTACAAATTTGGAAGCTGAAATAAATAGACTCAAAGAAGAATTGGCAAAACAAAAGGTAGATTATTAGATTCAATTAAAAAAATGACTTTTTTTTTTTGTGTGTGTAATAATAATAATAATAATAATAATAATGTTTTAACACAATTTTAAAAAATGAAAAGGAAAATGTATTATATACAGAAAAAGGTTTTAATGATAGTGAAGACGAAGAATATACGATGATTTCAGGTGAAAATGAAAATGAAGAATCTTTATCGTCATCTTTTTCATTATCCAAGAAGAAGAGCAACAATAATATTAGCGAGAATAGCAATCATCATAGACAACTACAACAAAAAAGTTCTTTGGATGGAAATAATGAGGATGAATATTTAGAAGTTAAAATGGAAGATGATCAATCAAATAATATTTCAATTACTAGTAATAATGAAGATGATAAAGACGGCCATAAAGTTGATGCTGTTGATGATGATAAAGTAGACGATAAACAAAGTGATTACTTTGTTTATAAAGAAAATGCCGAGGATGAAGATGAAGATGAAGATGAAGATGAAGATGAAGACGACGATGACGATGGTTGTGTAAGTATTGGTATGAGGACGGCCAAATTTTTTATGGGAAATAGAGCTACTATTGATGTAGATATTGTTGCTAGAGGTATTTACTTGGGCTTTTTTGGAATGGTTTTTTGGTTGTAAAATAAAAAAATCTTATTTTTTTTTATTTTTTTTTTTAGCCATGAGAAGAGTTGGAAGTGGTGAAAATGAAATTGAAGTTGAAAGTAAGAAATTAGAAAATGGAACAACCCTTGATATTATAACACATTCTCAAATTCATCGAATTGGAGGAAACTTTGAATAAATTTATTATTTTTATTTTTATTTTTATTATTCAATTATCAATTATCAATTATCAATTTAATGTTATTATAAAAGGACATTTGATACTTAATTACTATAATCTATTAAATCTTATCAAATTTATGTGTGATCTTAACAATAATAATTATAACAATTATATTTTTAATGAAAACATACATTATCAATCATTCTTTGATATCTTTTTCATCTGCATCTTTGACGGCATTTGTTTTTATGATGTCGTTTGTATCTTTGATGTCGTTTGTATCTTTGATACCTTTTGAAGTATTATCATTGTCACTGTCATGAATTCCAATCACTACTACTTTTTCATCATCATTTCTACTATTTTCAGGATTCACGGGGGTGACAACATTTTTATTTTTCCTTCGGTTATATTTCACAATCAAATAAATTGCTGAAATAATAAGTGCAGCAGCTGATATGGCAGCTAAAGTCATTTTCACAATAAAAAGTCTGTTATTATTATTCATAGTATTATTTGCAGTATTAGTGTTATTATTGTTATTGGTAGGTGGTGTTGCAGTAAAGTTGTTCAACCATTTATAATTATTTTTATCGGTAACATCCAAAATTAAAATATTTGAAAAAAATCCATCCACTTGATTCGTTCGGATTTTACCTATAATATGTTTATTTTTAAAAATATTAAGATATTAGTTTCATAATTCTAAAAAATAGAACAACAACAGCAATGATAATGACAAATAACAATAGTAATTACCAAATGCAATTATCATATAAGTATCTTTATACAATGTTGCAGTGTGCGTATAATGAAGTGTGTTAATTGCAGTAGGATAAACAATATTTTTTGGAGTTGTCCACTCAAAATTGTTTTTGGTGTCCAAGATTGCCAATTTATCTGGTTCGTTAGTTCCACCATACACGATTATTCGTCCATCGGGTGCTATATATATATAAAATAAATTATTAGATGTATTAATCATAATAATCAAGCAAGATATAGATAGATATTACTTACTCATTACCGAAGAATGTTTAAGTCTTATGGAAGGTGTATAACCAGTTGTATTCTAATAACAATAATATATAATTAATTGGGAAGGAGAACTTGGAAAAAAAAAATTTTTTTTCATCATAAATTTTTACCACAGGAGTCCAAGTATCTTTATTAATATTATAAATGGACAACTAAATTTTTTTAAAAAAAAAAAAAAAAGTTAATACACATTTACAAATTTATATTTGCAATCTAAATGAATAATAATTATTATATATACTTGAGACAAATTTTTTCCAATAAGAATTATCTCATTGTCATTTAATAGATGAAGAGTAACCATGGTACTTAGATTATTGATATTTGCATTAGTTTCTTGTAATCTTTTTTCAATTACCAATTTGTCAATGTCTACACTAAAGAAAGTTGATCCGCTTAACACGTAAACTTTATTGTTATTATCGTCCCGCACAAAAGCTGTATTTCCGATTAAACTAGTGTCAAACTCTTCACTGCAATTTA